CAGCGGTACGCCTGCACCATCACCAGCGGGTTGGAGGCCTGCGGGCGGGGACCAGGGGGAGGGGCCAGGGAGGGGGAGGGGGAAGTGAGCGGGCATGGCCGCGCGGCGGGCACGCCGAGCGCAAGCAGCCACGCAGCCGAGGCCCCACCCCGCTTCCCCATCCACCTCGGCCCATGCAGGACGTGCGCGCCCACACCACCACCACACACACCCACCTTCATGGAGAAGAGGAAGTTGTGGTAGTCGTGGTCGCGGCAGATGTCGGCAAACTCAAACGCGCTCTCAACCATGCCGCGCGGCGTGTCGCCTGCGGCGCCACGCGGGCGGCGGGCCAGAGGCCGCAGCGTACTGTGAGCAGCAGGCAGGAGCGGTGCAAGAGCAGCGCGCACCCTAGCATCGTACCTCCTGGCTGCCTGACCGCGCAGTCCCCGGCCCCCAGTGCAGCCGCGGCCGACACACCGCACCCTGCACGCCCCCCAGGCCGCAGGCCCCGCCCCCCTCACGCAGCGCACCGTAGAAGGAGAGGATGCGGGCGGACAGGGAGCCGTGGTTGGTGCCTATACGCATCGCCCGGTTCAGGCTCTTGCACTTCTCCACCAGCGGCGTGAACACCTCGCTGCGGCGCGGGGGGGGGCGGGCGGGCGGGGCGTATGTGTTTAGTCGCCCAGCAGCCAAACCAAGCCATGCTAGTGCCACGCTGTCAGATCACACTGACGCCTTCCCCTCTCATTTCAATCTAGCAAGATCCCATCTCTTTCCCTCACACACACACAACCCCCTCCCCACCCCACCCCACCCCACCCCACCGTATGTAGTCCCTCTCCGCCGCAAACTGCGCCGGGTCGTCGTAGTTGATCACATCAAACGTCTTGCGACCGTCGGCAAAGTTGCCTGCGCGGCGGCGGCGGCGGCGGCGGGGGTGGAGGGTCGGCGCGCGGGCGGCGGCGGGGACAGGCGGCGGCCGAGGGGCGCGCCATGGCGCCCCGGCCCTACTACGCAGCAACCCACCCCCGCCAGCAGCCCAGCCGCAGCAGGCCCAGCAGCAGCCCCAGCAGCAGGCGCCAGCATCCCACCCGGGTTGATGCGGATCTTCTCAAACGCGTCCGCCACCATCATGGCCACCGCGGGCTGGAAGTGGATGTCTGCCACAAGCGGGGTGGTGTACCTGCAGGCGGTACATGCGGTACAGGCGGTACAGGTGGTGCAAGCGGATGTGGGGGCACGCACAGAGCACAGCATGTCGCACAGTGTGACATCCCCGTGGCGGCTGCAGCCCGTCGCCTCCTGGCATGAGCCCTGTCTAATTGCCCAGCGGTCGCCACAGCTGCCCTCAACTCCCACCCCGTCCTCCCGCCCACCTGTCCTTGAACAGCCGCTCCCTGATCTTCATGCATGCCTCCGCCTCCCGCTTGCTCTGCACCGTGATGCGAACAATGTCGGCGCCCGCATCCGCGCACCGCTTGACCTGCAAGCAGGGGGGCAGCGATAGGCGTGTGTGTGTGTGGTGTGCATGTGCGAGTGGGCGCCGCACCAACGGCGCCGCGTTTGCTTGCTGCCAGCCGCCCCGTAGCTCCGTCGACGCCGCTCTGGCCCTGCCGCGGAGCGTGCCAGCTCCCGCTGCCGCCGCCTGGCTGCCAGCCTGCCGAGCAGCTCCCTGCCACCCCTCCAGCCAGCACGCTCCAATCCCGCCCAGCAGCCGCCGCCCCTCGCCCTCTGCCCAGCACCTGCTCCACAGTGGCCTCAATGTCGCGGGTGTCGGTGGTGGTCATGGTCTGCAGGGCGATGGGGTGCTCGCTGCCCACCTTGACGGGGCCAATCTGCAGGTGGGCAGGAGGGGGAGGGCCGGGGTGAGGCGGCTGCAGGTGGCCGCAAGGGAAGCGGCGGGGCCCCTACGTCCCCTGCTGCATGGTCTTGGGCACAAGCTGCGATGGAAAGAACAGCCCGCCTGCAGTCGAATAGCGTCCCATGTCGGCATGGGCAGCAGCTAGAGCAGCCCCAAACAGCACGGGCCACGCACGTCGACGGTACGGGTGGGGCGGCGGCGCGTCTGGCTGATGCTCTCGCAGTACTTGGGAGTCAGCAGGCGCAGCTCCTTCTTCTGGGTCACAATCATGGGGCCCTCACCCGCCACCGCCGCCTGCAGCAAAAGCAGCACGGTGCAAGCGGCGAAGAGGTTGGCGGCGGCGGCACGCGGGCGGCGGTACGCGGGCGCTGCATTGCCCCGCGACGCCCTGCCGCGCCGGCTGATTGCGCTACGTGGCCCGCCAGGCCTCCCCGCTCACCCTCACGGGGCTCTGGCGTGCGGCTGACCGCATGGTGCGGCCGTGCCGCTGCAGCAGGCTCTCGCCCCGCAGGAAGACGCTGCTGCTGCTATGGGTCGCGGCGGTCTGCATGGTGGCACGCACCGGCCCCCTGGCACGCTGTGCGCTAATCGAGAGACTGGCGGGGGGAGGGCTGGGACCCCTTTAACACACTCAGGCTGTAGGGCCGGGCACGTAAATGCAATTGGAGGGAGCCCTGCGGTGCCAGCCGCTCATTCCATCAGGATTTGGGGCCGGGCTTGGGAAGAAAGGAGGGCACAGAGACGAGCACAGCGAGAGGAATCGCATTTCGGCTGCGATTATATGTCATACAACGGTGGATGCACGTTCTGGGCGAGTCGGGCAGCCAACCATACGCACAGGCTGGGAAACATGCATGCAACATGACAATTCGGCCTCCTCCTGCCACGTCCGTCAGTTGGAGGGAGCGGCAGTCTATTTCAGTGGGCTTGGGATGGTTCCAATGTACTGGGCGGCAGCGGAGCTGCTGCGGCGGGCATACCGAGTGGGCGGTAGGTGGAGCGGAGCTGCCGCCAACCTCTGTTGCCGCCAACGTCCCCCTGCCTCGACTGCGGCAGCGTGTGTTATCCTGTTTCAGTCAGAATGGCACGCCCCCAGACACGCGCACCTGCCACCAGGCGCGCAAACAGGGCTGCAAAGCCAGGCTCTGGAGACGTTTGCTGGCCGACCGAAGACCCAACCGCTCGCTGTGAAACGTCGGTACCATTCACAGCAAGTTGATGACATTTGCACCCACACGGCAACGTCGCAGCTTATGGTAACTGGCATGCAAGTGTCAGTCATGGTCGGGCAGGGCAGGATGCGTTGTCAAGAGGCGGAGGGGTGCTGGCCAGCACAGCACTACGCATCCCTCTCAGAAACTAATCATCATGCTTCGGTCAGCTTCGTGACCGCAAGCCACAGAGAGCCTGGCGTCAATGCGCAGGGCCGGGTGCTGGGCACTAGCTGCGGCATTGCTGGCGTCAACGCCTCTTTAATCATGCCTGGCGGCAAACTTGTGGGAATAAGCCAAGCATGGATGGCGTGATATTGCCACATGATTTGAACTGTGCTTGGCCAAGGTATATGCTAGCCGGTGCATGGATCAGCCGGCGCCTCAGTCACCGCTGGCGGTGCCGGCGACCTGGCGGCACGGTGACTTGGCACTCCCAGGGGGCGCGTCCCTGGCCCGGGGAGCGATCGGGCACACCTCACTTGGACAAATGAATGCTTGGTAGGCTGCGGGAGCACCCCCTGCTCGACCTCACGCCCAGCTCTAGACTCTCTCGGCTCAAGCAACCATCACCGCCCTGCTGCTGATCTGGGTGCCATCAGCACATCCCATCAGGGCTGCGCAGGCTGCCGCCCAGCGCTGAACAATGGAGACCGACACCCCCCAGAACCTCTCGGCAGCGCCAATCCCGGTGGAGCAGGTATACAAGACACTGGAGGCGGCGCTGAGCTTCGATAAGGGCGTGCGCACTGCGGCCGAGGAGCAGCTGAGGGGCTGGGAGTCCGATGCGGCGCCTGGGTTCATTGGGAGCCTCCTGCGAGTCGTGGCAGAGGTGCAGGCGGTGCCCGAGGTGCGCGAGCAGCCGGCCGACACCATCCTTTAACCTGCCGCCACCTGCCGGCCCACTCCAGTTGGCGCCGGAAGCCGACCTTGCTTCGCCATGCATGCATGTGCATGGACTTCTCACATCCTTGCTAGCCAGGGCATTAACAGGAATTCATGCAACCAATCACTAGGCCTACCCATGCATTGCCCTCACCCAATGCTCCGCACCGACCGTGCAGGACGGGCGCCTGATGGCGGCTGTCGTGGCCAAGAATGCGGTGGGCAGCAGCTGGCGAAAGACCCTGGGCAGCCGCGAGTGGTCACGCGTGCCAGGTGGGTCACCGCCGGCCACTGCTATCCTTGTATACAGCGAGCATGGGAAGCACAAGGCCCAGGCGCTGGCAGGTGCCCAACGGGAGAGGGCGGGCCCTGACAGCCCGCCGGCTCCCGCCATCTGGCTGCCGCTGCCGCTGTCGCTGACGCCACCCACCCCTACACTGCTGTGCCGCAGACGACGAGAAGCAGTACATCCGGTCCACTGCCACAGCCGTACTGCTGGGCGACCCCTCGGACAGGGTGGCGCTGCAGGTACTGCTTGCTGCATGCCAGGGCGGGAAGCGGGGAGGAAGTTGCCCTGCAAAGGTGTGGCGGCGAGTCTTGCACACCCCACTGGCTGATGTGTGGATCGCCCCCAAGCATGTCTGCTCCACTCCCGCCATGCCTGCAGGTCACCCTGCTGATCACCAACATAGCGCGGTTCGACGTGCCGCAGGTGGGGCCTGGGGCCGCCCTGCTGTGGTGTGCCCACCGCCGCTGCTTGCCATCCGCCTGCCATGCCCGCCCTCTGGCCCTGTGATTGCGCTGCTGATTTCAATGGTAATTCCTGCGCCTCTGCCTGCTGCGTGCACCCACCGGCTGCAGCCCTGGGAGAGCCTGCTGCCAGACCTGCTGTCGGCGGCGGCAGAGGAGTCGGCGGTCGCGCCGGCCGGCAAGCAGCGCGCCCTGACGGCGCTCAAGCACGTGCTGCAGGCTCTCAAGGGTGAGCTGCTGGCCGCCAGCCCTGCTGCTGCTGATGATGCTACGGGTTGCTTGACGTGCATGCCTCGGTTGCACCCGGCACTGCCGCCACCTCTTGGCTGCCTGCCTGACTGGCTGCTTTGGCTGCCTGCAGGCAAGAAATTTGTGATTCAGAGCCACAGGGACGCGCGACTGATGACAGACGCGGGTGCGTACAGGGCCGACACATCGGACGCCCTGCGCTCCCGCTTGGCCCTTGCTCAGCCTGCTGTGCACCTGTCCTGGTTTATGCCGCTGCCCCACCCCTCAGGGCGCTTCTCTCTGGCACCTCTTGCTTCCCTCATCCTGCTCGTCACCCGCCTGCCTAGCTGCTTGCCAGCCTGACTGCCTGCTTGCCTGCCATCCGGCCGCCCTCTGCCGCTGCCACCCGCAGAGCTGGAAGAGCTTGCGGGCGGCGTGCACCGCCAGCGTGCGCTGCTGGACGCGCAGGCCAAGGCGCTGCTGGCGCCGCTGCGGGCGCAGTGGGAGCAGCACACAGCGGCGCTGCTGGCGGGGGGCGAGGGCTGGGCGCGGCGCGGGGCGGCCGCGGCGGCCGCGCTGTCGGCGGCAAGGGAGCTGATGCATGTGCTGCAGGTGTGTGGTTGTGTGTGTTGGTGTGTGTGTGAGTTTGGTGACACGTGGGGGGAGTCGGCATGGCCATAGAGAGCGGCCTAGAGACTGCACCGTGCCAGGATGTGTGACGCAGCCCGAGCTCTCGCCATGCCTGTTGCTGCCAGCCGTGCAAGTCCAGCCAGGCAAGCTGATCACCTGCCCGCCCTCCCCTGCTGCCCTCGCAGGATTTTGAGGGCGTGGAGGATGCGCTGAACGCCCTGCTGACAGAGATCCAGCAGGCGGCCGCCGCCATCGCCCCGCAGCTGCTGACCGGGCTGCAGGCGGCGACGGCGGCGGCGGCGGCGGCCGGGGACGGCGGCGGCGCGGGCGGCGATCCGCAGCAGCAGCGCTGGCAGCTGCTAGGCAAGAACTGGGAGCGGCTGCTGCAGGTAGCGCTGGTGACCATGGACAGGTGTGTGGTGTCCGCTGCTGCTGGCTGTGGTGGTGGTGATGCTCTTCGGGTGTGATGGCCTGCTGCGTGGGAGACAGGGGGGGTCATGAGGGTGGCGCACCTCTGCCCGCTGCTCAACCTCGGGCAGCCCCATCCTCAAACTCGCCTCATCAGCACCGACGCTTCCCCCGCTGCTCACCGTTCTCGCCCGGCCGTCCCCCGTGGCACCGCACCGCAGGCACACCTTCCAGTTTGCCGCCCACCTGCCGGGCCTCATCTCCCTGTGCATCAACGCCGCGCTGCTGGCAATGGACGCCTCGCTGGTGCACCGAATCAGGCGAGAGCAGCGCCGCCACGCCGTGCTGCGCTGTGATGTGTAGCACTGTGCTGGGCATCACTTGTACGCTCGGCTTCCGCGCTGCATTGCAACCGGGTGGGCCGGCAGCCGCTCCCCTGCCACCTCCGCCTGCTGCATGCTGTCACCTGTGACGTGCGCCGCCTGCCACCGCCCCGCAGGCCCAAGGCGCGGGTGGTGCTGGTGCGCTTCTGCGCCCGCGCCCTGCTGCAGCAGCTGTACCGCCGGGACTTTGTGGAAGGGGGCAGCCCAGGTGCGCGGTACCGCTGGGCAGCCACAGCCGCTGCGCGTCTGCCTCCGCTGATGCTGCTTCCTCAGAGGGCCCCAGTGCCCGGGCAGCGCCAGCTGTGACACGCCGCCGCTGCACTTCTGTACCGCACTGCAGAAGCACGGTACATCAGCGACGCGGGACGCGCCGCCATCGCCAAGTACCGCCCCCAGCTGCTGGCCGCCAGCGACGCGCTGGCCGCCCTGCTGGCGCCCGCGCAGTGCCCCGCGCTGGTGCAGGCCATCGTGCAGGTGCGGCTGGGGCGATGGGTGCAGGGCGGGGTGGAGGGAGGGCTGCGGGGAGGGTTGGGTGCGGTGCGCTATTGGGGGTGTGTGCAGGCCGATATGGCAGGCGGGCACACAGCCTGCTGTCAACAGCACACCACTGCCGCCACACCGCATGTACCGCATGTACCGCAGAAGTACATAATGCTGTCGCCTGCCGAGGTGGCCGAGTGGGAGGCGGACCCGGAGAGGTGGGCCGCCGCCGCAGCAGCAGCTGGGCCTGGGTTCCTCTCAGTGAAGCCAAGTCTGCAGCGCCTGGGCACATGTCCACATCCATCGCCCAGCCGCTGTGCTGCGCTGCTGCACGGCCTGGAGTCTTGCGTCTCAGCCTCCTGCCTGCTCCCCCGTCTGCAGCTTTGCGCGCAATGTGGATGTGGAGACCAGCCCCGACGCCGACACGCCTCGGCCCTGCGGCGTGGCACTGCTGGTGAGCCAGGCAGCTGCTGGCGAGATACCTGGCTGCCAGGCAGCAGCTGGCGGGGTGTGCTGATCGTGGGGCAAGGCGTGTGCTTTCCAGTGGGTTGCCCTCTTGGTGCCATCATGTGTACTGCTGTATCTCTGCACTGCTGCAGGAGTGCATGCTGGAGCGCGCGGACGAGCCTGTGGCCTCCGCCCTGCTGGCTATGGCGGCGCAGCAGCAGGTGGGCGGCCGGGCTGCTTGCGTTCCACAACACCAGCTGCGGTTAGCAGCAGGGTGCCAGCAGGACAGAGGCGGTTGGCAGCAGGGTGCGGTTGGCAGCAGAGGCGGTTGGTATCAGCAGCCCGCCCGATCCATTGCCACCTGCCGCCAAGGCAGGCGGCGGCGCTGTCGCCCGACAACATCTTGCTTCGGGAGGGGACGTACCGCGCCATCGGCGAATGCTTCCCACACCTGCGCTCCAAGGTGGCTCCCGCTGTGCATGCTGTGCATGCTGTGGTTGCCCACTCCCAGCCACCGTAAACTCCCTTCCCTACGCTGCATACACACCTTCGGCCTCTGCCGGTGCAGCTGGCTCTTCCCAGGCTGGGGTTTCCAGCCCCGCCACGCGCCGCCGTGCGCCACCCACCCACATCTGCCCTCTCCTGCTTACCCCCCCTCTTGCTGGCCGCAGGTGGACTTCAATGCCTGGTACGCCTCAGAGCTGCGCCTTATCCTGCAGAGCACGGAGCTGACGGGTGAGCGGCCTTTTGATGCCCTGCCAGCAGAGTGCAGCGGCCTGCTGTTACCACGAGCGGCGGGTGGCCAGGCTCGCCAAGTTGGAGCTTGCAGGGGGGGCCGCAACCAGCGTGCTCATCTGGATTCCGCCACTGCTCCTGCCTCCTTGCAGGCCTGTACGGCAGCATCCTGCGAGCCGGCGCGCTGTGGCTTCTGGGCGTGTGCGGCTCGGAGCTGCAGGCGGCACCCTGGGTGGAGGCCTTTGGGCTGGTGGTGCAGCACCTGACCCACTCAGACGTTGTGGTGAGTGGGGGCACGGCCCGTGAGGATTTCTTTTGCCGGCGCTCCCGCGTGCGTCGCTATTCACATGCCGCAGCCACCTGCTCAGGTTCTGGCTGCCCGTAGGGCCACACCTTCTATGAGGAGGATACAGGAGGGCTATGCCCTGCTGTTGTCCTGCATGCTGCTGTCAGCCTGCCGAGCTGCTGCTCCGCTCGTCCCCGCCCCCTGCAGGTGGCGCTCATGGCGGTGTCGGCCCTTACCGTGCTGCTCAGTAACTGCCTGGAGGAGAGCCAGTTTGTGTCGCAGCCCGCGGGGCGCAGGCGGCTGGTGCTGGAGGGGCCGGGCGGCGCCACGCTGGCGCTGTCGGACTCGGAGGAGGATGCGGCACGTGGGTGCAGTGTTCGGGCGGGGGGGCTGAGGTGTGGATCGGGGAGGCATGGCAGTGAGCGGCGGCCTACCCGGCTGGCTGCTGCGCTCCCATGTGTTGCACTCGCCGCTGCCAGGCCTGCCTTCACCCATAGTGTGCCCCCTGGCCAGCCTACCACAACCTCCCATCGCCACCCACCGCTGCTCGCCACCAGCCCTCGCTCACGCCTCTCCCGCGCGTGCCTGCAGACGCGCTGGCATCCCAGGTGGATGCAGAGTACAAGGCGCACATGGCGGCGGTGGAGGAGGCCACAGACGCGGTCATCGGCGGCTGCTTCGCGCTGCTGCCGCGCCTGGCGGAGATTGAGAGCATGGTGGGCGACGGCGGCGGTCGCAGCGGCTCGGCTGTGTGGGCGGCGTTGCCCCCTTCTGCTTGAGCGGCTGCGGTGGTGTTTTCCGGTGGCATCCTGCCCAGTACGCCTCTGGGCAACACCCGTCCTTGCCGCTGCTGCCTTCCCGCAGGTGCGCGTGCTGCAGTGCGTATCCTCCTCTGTGGAGCTCCTGGGCGACCGTCTGCGCCCTCACCTGGCCACCATCTGCAGCGCACTGCCCCAGGTGTGGGGGAGGGCCACCCCAGAGGCCTGGGGGAGGGCATGCTGGCTGACGCTGGCGAGCCGGCTGGTTGCGGCACGGTGGTCGGTGCGTGCACCACGGCAAGCAGTCTGAAGCTCTGCTGCTGCTGCCCCTGCCGCCGCCTGGCCGTTGCCCGCAGGTGTGGCAGGTGATCAGCCAGCGGAGGCAGGAGGGGGCGGGCGGTCTGGCGCGCCTGCACTCTGCTCTCATCTCCACAGGTGGGCTGCGGGTGGCGGCAAGGACGCGCACTGCAGAGTGCACTGCGAGGGAGGAGGTGCAGAGGCGGGGGATCGGATGGGCGGGCGTGTGCCCTGCATCCAACTGCGAGGCTTCCATCCACCTGCCCTCCCACCTGCCCTGCACTACAGTCACCCACCTCCTCATGCGGCTGGGCTCGGCGGCGGTGGCAGACCCGCGCGTCGCGGGCCTGCTCTTCCCCCTGCTGCAGCACGCCACCAACCTGGGTGCGCCGCCACCGCCGTTGCTGCTGACAGCTGCAGGCTGTGGTGTGTGCTAGCGTGAGCTGGGCAGCTGGCCAGACGCCAACTCTCCTTGCGAGCGCTTCCTGCCAGCTCAGCATCTCCGCCCTGCCGCCCGCCCCCCTGCTTCCTCCCTGCAGGAAGCCCCGACTCCGAGCCTCTCATAGAGGACGGCCTGCGACTGTGGTCTGCTGTGCTGGTGACCAGCGAGCAGCTGCCCGCACCGCTGCAGGTGGGTGGGTGGGTGGGTGGAGGGGACCCAGCATAGGCGCAGCCTGCGTTCAGGCTCATGCTTCAGAGCCTGCACAGAGTCATTGTGCACAGTGCCCCTGTGCCCCATGCGTGCCTCACGCCTTTCCCTGCGTGCTCCCCCCTGCCCTGCCCTCCCCGCCAGCAGGACATGTTTGTCCAGCGGCTGCCGCCCATCCTGCGCCGCGGCCAGGACACCGCCGGCTGCCTGAAGATTGCAGAGGGGCACGTGCTGCTGGGAGGTGGGCAGGCAGCGGGCCTCCTGCGGCTGCAGCCCGGCCCGTTGGCTTGCTTGCAGAGGCTGTGGGGCTGCGCAGAGGCACCTGCATGCTCGGCAAGGCATAGGGTGGTGTGTGTGCCTGCGGTTGCAGATGTAGTGCGAGCTGCCAAGCGCGCTGCGCTGCGTTGCCGAGTAACCAGCAGCGCTCCTCCTTTGCCGCGCAGGCCTGCCGGCGGTGGCGCCGCTGCTGGGCCCTCTGGCCTCTGCCATCACCGCCAGCCTGGGAGCGGCGGTGGCCGCCGCGGCGCAGCAGCGGGCGGCGCTGCAGCAGCTGCTGGCGGGCCCCTCTGGGCAGCAGGGGCAGCGACAGCCCTCTGTCAAAGGCATGGCCCCCGACCAGGTGGCAGAGGCGACCTCGGCGGCGGCGCTGCTGGCGCTGATAGTGCACCTGAGCGAGCAGGCGGGCGGGGGGCAGCAGGGGGGGCAGCAGGGGGAGCTGCCAGCCGAGCTGCAGCCCGCGGCCAAGGCGGCGGCCCAGGTGGCGGCGGCCGACTATGGCGGAGGCGTGGTGCGGCTGCCCTCGATGGGGCTCGGCCTGGTGGAGGCGTGCCTAGAGGTGTGGACCGGGGCTGCCGCGGCTGGTGCTGGGGCCGGCTGCAGTGCGTGGTGTGTGGTGCGACGCTCTCGGCGGCGTGGGGTGGGCATTTGAGGGGCGGGGGTGGGAGGGGCCCAGGTACCTCGCTACTTGCCCACCTCTCCCTGCATGGCGGTGCTCCTATGGAGGTACCCCTAGCACCACCGCCCACACACACACACGCACCACACACACCAACCGCAGGTGGTGGGTCGCCTGCTGTTCAAGCAGCCCTCCCTGCTGCCCACGCTGCTCGACGGCGACAGCGGCGCCGAGGCCAGGTCGGCGCCGGCATCCCAGGGGCTGCGGCGGCACGCCCCTGCGGCCCGCCGCCTGCCAGCCTGCATCCGGCGCGTGCCGGCCCTGCTTTGCCAGCCAGGCCCTGCTGCCCACACACAATCCCCGCTGTGCCCTCACGTGCCGGTGCTTTCCTCCCCGCCTTGCCCCGCAGGGTGCTGGACCGTTGGGTCCTGATGGGAGGAGCGCGGGACATTGCCGAGATGTTTGTGGCGGCCATGGGGGTGCTGGGGCAGTGGGGGGGTGGGAGGGGGGGGGGGGAGTGGTTGAGGGGGAGGGCGGAGGATACCAAAGGGGGGGTGGGGGTGTTTGCTCGCCCGGCGGCGGTCACCACTACTTTTAGTGTGGGCCTTCCTTTTGGCAGGGATCGCCGGGTACAACGACCGCTCGGGGTCTGGCCCACCCCTACCCTTTTGCTCCGGTCGCCCCGCCTGCAGGGTGCGCCGCCACCGCGCCGCCGTCACCCTGTGCAGCATCCTCTACGCCGACGCCTGCCCGCCGCTGCGCGCGCCCGAGCGGGCCGCGCAGGCGCTCATCCTGGGTGCGCCGTGCAGCCTGCAGCAAGCCTGCTGCCAACATTGCACATGTGTCTGCGTAGGAGGCTGTGCCTGCCTGCCCACCCGCCTGCCTGCCTGCTGCATGACTGCCTGCCTGCCTGCTGCATGACTGCCTGCCTACCTGCTTGGCTGGCTCCCCCGCCCCATGTGCTGCAGGCATCCGTGCCGCTCGGGAGCAGGAGCAGTTTGCCCGGGACCAGCAGCGGCTGCAGGAGATGCAGGTGCGGGGGGTGGATGGGATGGGCACCACGCTGGGTGCAGGGGCGAGGTGCCCGCCCGCCTCCCTCGCCGCCGCCAGGCCCTCGGCCACAGCAGCGGCACGCCAGAAGCTTGCGTGCGCAGCCCAGAGTGTGCTGCCTGCCCCACATCTCCAACACACCCCAACATACACGCGCACACAAACACACACACTCTCTCTCTCTCTCTCTCTCTCTCTCTCTCTCTCTCTCTCTGTGCACCATGCCCCTGGCCAGGTCGGCGACACCTCCCACTCCGACCAGCTCGTGCTGCGCCGCCTGGCCCTGGCACGCACCGACCCGGTCAAGGCCATCGACGCGCGGGAGGCGGCGCGGGCGGCGGCATCAAAGGTGCGAGGCCCGCTGGGGCCCGGCGCCGGTGTGTGCGAGCGCCACGCAGCCGTGAGGACGGCAGATGCCGGGGCCGGTCCGGTGTTTCTTTGCGGGCAGCCCGGAATGGGTCCCCTGCCTGCCCACCGCTCCCTCCACCTGCTCTTGAGATCTCGTCACCTTGGCTGCGCCCGCCCCCGGATCGCCGCAGGTGGCGTCGTGGCTGGGTGAGGAAGCGCTGAGGCGACAGCTGGACCTAGTGGACCCCCAGCTGGCGGAGCACCTCATGCAGCTGGCTGCAGGGGAGCAGCTCATGGAGGGGGCTGACGGCGGGGGTGCTGCCGGCACCGCCGGCACAGAGGGTGCCGCCACGCCATCCCCGGTGCAGCAGCTAGGCCTAGGGCGGTGATGCCAGGCGGCGATGCAAGTGCGCCAAAGAGCTTTAGTAGCGCAGCATGCACAAGAGGCTTCGTGAAAGCCCGCGTGCCCCTCCCTTCACACACCTCACCTCATTTCGTTTCCTGGCCCCCAGCACTGCCTCCCTGTTCATGTCTGAAGATACCCACCGCCGCGTGACACCCTGCCTGCCGCTGAGTGACATGCCTGCCAACAGTACCTTTTCCGGCCTGTAAAGTCACAAGAGTTTGATCCACAACACCATGGGCGAAACACAGTGCAAGCCAGTTGCATGCAAACCAGGTGCTAGCCTTGCCGCCCCACCACTGCTGCAGGAGGTGCCTGCTTTCCCGCCACAGCGGCGGCAGCCAGCTCACCGCACAGCTGCTTGTGGCCCTGCTTCCAGTCCTGCACTTGGCAGGCTCGGCTGCAGTAGGCCACAGCCTTGCATGCTGCGCAGCTCTTCAGCTGCTGGGTGGGCGTCCCGCAAAACGCGCAGGCGGCAGCGGCAGCAAAGCCGGCGCGTGCCGCGCCTGCACAGCACGGGTCCCAGCCGCTGCAGTGTGTGTTGAGTGCTGAGCGGGCGCAGGAGAGCAGGCAGGCAGCAATTGCGGGCAAAATGCAGCGGGCAGCGCAGCCCTGCACGCACCAAGCCCGCGCAGGCTGCCGGCCCGCAGCTGCTGCTGAAGCTCGGCCAGCTGCTGCCGCCGCTCCGTCAGCTGCTGCAGCCGCCCCTCTGGCATCCACCCCGCCAGCCGCCCCTCCATCTCCTTTATGCTCTCCAGAAGCTGGCCTGCGGCAGGGCGGGCAAGCCGACGGGCAGCGCAGCAGCCATCAAGCGCAAGCCGCAACCGGCCAAGCTTGGGCTGCCCAACCATCCTGGGCTCTCCAACACAAGCCACGCCGCCAGCCAGCCATCCGCCTGGCGTGCCGGCCCAGGCCCACCTGCTTCCAGCAGCGCCGTCTGCCGCACCGCCACATTGCGCTCCGCGCTGGCCCCCTGCATCAGCCAAAGCGCATGGTCGTGCTGCACCTCGGCCGCCGCCAGCCAGCCTGCAAGTACAGGCTCACATTAAGTGGCGCAGGCTCACGTTAAGTGGTGGGAAGGGCGGGGCCGCCACGCCCAGCATAGGTCAACCACCCCGGCCAGCCACAGGCTATATACCAAGAAAGCTGCCACATGCAGTGCACAGCCAGCGAGCTGGCCGGCTCAGCTCACATTGTGCGTCCGCGGCTCGCCGGGCGCCCTCCCGAAGCAGCGCCGCCATGCGGGCGGGCTCCAGCGGCCAGCGGGCTTGCAGCGCCAGCTGGGCAGCCCACACGTAGGCGTGCATGCAGGCCGGGTCCAGATCCAGCAGCTGCTGGCAGTCCAGCAGCAGAGTGCGAATGATGGCCTGGAACCCCGGGCCTGGCAGGGCATCAGAGCCGCCGCCACCACCCGGCGGCTGCTGCTGCTGCCGCGCCGCGGGCTGCTGCGCCGCTGCGGCCTGCTGCCCCACCGCGCGGCAGCCCAGGAACAGGCGCAGCACCAGCGCGCTCTTTTGCAGGTCTGGGGCGGAGACCTCGGGGCAGTGCCGCTTCAGCGCCTCGGCAAGGGCGGCGGCAAACTCGTTGGGAGGCTGTCCGCCGGCGGCGGAGGACTCTGGCGCAGGCACCTGGCTGCCGCCACCGCCAGCTGCAGCGCCAGCCTCCTCCGCCTCTGCTGCGGAAGCTGCCACTCCATCGGCTGCCCCACCACTGCCGCCACCCTCGCGCTGCTGCCCCGCGGGCTCAAGCTCCACAGAGGGGATGAAGTGGCGGGCCACCAGGCGGCGCTGCGTCTCGACTGCGGGCGGCCACACGCCGCTGAGCGCCGCAGACAGCATAGCGATGGCGGGCTCTGCATTCCCGGTGACGTGCAGGAACACGCCGGCCACAAGCAGCTGCACGATGTTGGTGGGGGTGGGGCGAGGGCAGACTGCATGGGGCGAGGACAGGCAGCCAAGTTGGTGAGGATGGGTGAGCACGCCCAGCTGGCGGATGCACGGCAAGGGGTGCTGGGGTGCTGCGGCAAAGCGGGCAGCAGGCGCATCCTGCCATGCCTGGAGTGCCAGCGGGCTGCATGGAAGCTCACCGACGGATGGGCGGTGCGCCTGGTAGCTGCCGTCCTCCTCCCTGCGGATGATGGGCTGCAGGCAGGACCCAAGTAACGATAGCCAAGATGACGCAGACTGTGCGATCCCCACACGGGTAAGAGATGGGTCACCAGGAGAGGCAGTGCCACGCGCACTCCAGCACTTGCCTTGAGCAGCCGTTCTTTCAGCAGCGTCAGCACCTCTGCGCTGCACAGGCCCACGCCCGCCGCCTCGGCGCCCAGTGCCACAGCCCGCACAAACTGGACAAGGCCCTGCAGCGTGGCATGCGTGGCGGCAGCGGTGGCGACGGCGGTGGCGGGCGGCGGTGGTTGCATTGCCCAGGCTGGCAATTGTTGCACGAAGCATCTCAGCGGTCCATTAAGAGCGCCCGTGCCTTGAAAACGTCGGGTTGGCACTCCAAGTCATCGGTGCCGCCTCCCTGCTCTTGCACTCGCTGCGCCACCCCCTTTAGCGTCTCCTCGCAATCCTTCATGCAAGACGCAAATCCCAGCAACGCCTGCAGCTCGGGAGTGAACTCCTCGGGGGCCATCCCCTCGGATGAGCGCTGTAGCTTCTCCAAAGCGACCTCCATAGTTGTTACGTCGTGTGGGGTGAATCCCCGGCGCCGTGAAATTCCTAGCAATCCCAAGTGCCGCCCCTCAGCCGCCACGTGGGCGCAACTTTGCTGGTGATTACATGCCACCAGGCCAGCCTGTTGGAACAATCTCCGTCATCCCAGCTGCATCGTTTCTGCAGGCGCCACAGGCCGCTCCTGCACCGGACGGTGCGGCACCGGGGCGTTGGGGTTGCCTGCCGCATAAAACCGCTGCAGCAAGCCCACCGCCTCTGCCGCCAACAGGCCGCCCCAGCTGGGATAGGTGCTGCCAGGCTGCCGCATGGCGCCTAGTGGCAGGCAGGCGCTGCTCCTCGCATCGCTGGCATCCCGGCTGCCCGCCTGCTGCTGCTGCCCCATCTGCTCTCGCTGCTGCTCCTCCTCCTGCTGCTGGTGCCCTTGCTGCTGCTGCTCCTCTCGCCCCTGCTGCTGTGCTTCCACGGCGCCGCCGCCGCCGCCGCCGCTGCAGCTGCCGCAGGCTGTGGCGTGCACGCTGAGGATGCTGCCGTTGCCGCCAAACTTGTCGTTGGGGCAGCCGTAGGTGACGGATGCAAAGCGCAGCAGGCTCAGCGCGCCAGCACACATGATGCATGGCTCGCATGTAACGTACAGGTGGCACCTGCACCGGTCGGGAATGGGAGGGTAAACTGGGGCGCGGCCTTGGTTGCAAGGTGCCGGGAGGGTGCGAGTTTGGGCAACAGGGACCGGCTTGGGGCACAGGCCTGGAGCGCACACAACCCGGGTGCTCACTCTGGGAAGCGCGCCGCCGCCGCGTCGCCGCCGGCCTGCTGCAGCAGGGCATCGACCGCCACAAACTCGGCGTGCCGCGTGCCCTGAACACGTAGATGCAGGTGGCAGGGAATGGGCACCATGGTGCTGCCGCTTGCAGGGGATGGGGCCGCGGTGCAATGTGCATGCTTTGCACGGCATGCCAGGGAAAGGCGACTTGCCAGCCAGCCTGTGCTGCGGCGTCAGGTGCCCACACCCCCAGCTCACGTTGCGTGTCTCATTTGTCTTGTTGCTGCCGGCTGCCACCACGGCGCCATCCCGCACCACCACGCACCCCACCGGCACCTCGTTCTCCCCAAGGGCGTTGGCGGCCTGCGAGAGGGAAGGAAGGGGGCATCTGTTGACGGGACTGGCAGCGGTCGACGGCGGCGGCAGGCGGCGGCCCTGCACACCTGCTGCAGCGCGGCTCGCATGAACCGCAGGTCATCGGGCGTCCATTCAATGCTGTCGGACATTGCCTGCGAGGTTTGGGCCAGGGCTGCGATGGCGGGGAGGGAGGATGCGCAAGGGCGCGTGCGCAGCGCGCGGAGAGGGATGCAGCAGAGCCAGGGGAGGCGCGATACAATCGATCTGGCAAAGAGGAGGGGGTCACCAGCACTGTGCACGTGGCGGCGCCAGCGGGGCGCCGCCAGTCTAGCGACGCCCGCCACCAGGTGCCGCAGTATGTGTGTAACACACTCGCTGGCCTCTTGATTCTAATAACGGCATGCAAATCGCAGGTTCAGCACATGAACTTGGCATTATGTCGCACTCCTTGAACTATGCGAGTGGCGGCGCCTGCTGCGCACATGCGGCGCCGAATGGCTTACAATCTAGCAATTGGCAAATAATATAGCAGGGGCAGAAATCATTGCAGGGATCGATGGAGCCATGGAAAATTCGGCAGTGTCACAACTTCACAACGACTGGGAGCAAGGGATGGCAGGCGAGCAGGCCAGGCGCCTGTCAGGGCGCCAGCTCTGCCAGCCGGGCGCCGCTGCTGCCGGGCGTGGCCGCCAAGCCTTGCCGCCGCCCCACGGCGCCCGTCGTGTCGGCAGTGCTGGTTGCGCTCGGGGTGCGGCTGTGCGCCCCATGGGGCGCCCCCCCAGGCAGCAGCTCCATCAGCAGCGCCTTGAGGCGCGGCACAATGGCGTCAAAGGTGGGCCGGTCGCCGGGCCGCTCCGCCCAGCACTCCCTGCAGCCAAGGCAGCGGCTCAGGCGGTGGCGGGTGGCGGGTTGGCGTGGCAATGCGGGTGTGGGCTGGTGGGTCGGCAGGCCACACGGGCGAGGGACGCAGCTCTTGCTGCTGCTGCCCACAGATTGAGGCATGGGAGCTGCTGGCCATTGAAGAAGGTGGTGGGCCAGGGAGGCGGCGGCGTGGCGGCTGGCTGGCTGCAGTGCTGCTGCCCGCCCTCTCCCCTTCCGCTCCCTGCCATACACACACACACCGCCCTGTCCACTCGCCATGCCGCAAATGCGCACCCGCCCCCACGCACCTCATCAGCGCGCAGTAGGCGTCCAGGCCTGTGAAGGAATCGTTGTCGGGGCCGGGCAGCGCCTCCCGCGGCGGCACCTCGGGCCGCTCCCCGTGGATCACTTGGTAGATGATCTGCGTCGGAGAAGAAAAAAGAAAGAAGGGTCGGACGGTGTTTGTGAGACTGCGTGCGGTGCATGCGCATGGATGGCGGGTTTGATGGCCAGGCCGGGTAGTGGTGGTGGGGGGGGTGGGGGGTGCGGCAGGTCGCCAGCTGGCCAGGCTGGCAGCGGCTGAGCGCCACAGGTGCTTGCCTGGAAGGGCAGGGTGCCCGAGGCGGCGCCCCAGGGCAGCTCCCAAGTCATTAGCTCCCACAGGACCTGAGGGGGTGGCAGGGCAGGTGCGTGAGGCTGGTGGCAAGGCGGGGAGGCGGCAGGCCGGTTGTGGGGTGGAGGCCGGCAGCGGCTCAAACAGGCAGGCAACACATGCGGGCGGTGGTGGGATGGGTGGGTGCGCGTGTGAGTTTGGGGAGCGGCAGTGCAGTGGTGTGCTGTGGGAGGGCAAGGGCAGGGACTCCCTGCCTCGGAGGCAGCCGCACCAGGCCAAAGGCGTACACGTCTGCGGCGGCGGTGGGGCGTTCCCCTGACATGACCTCGGGTGCCTGCTGGGA